CTTTGCCACTGGAGAGGAGAGAGAGATGACTAGAGAGCTGTTGATGTTCTTCCACCACCGTCAAGATAATACAATCCACCAGCTTCAAGTCCTCCACCAATCTTCATCCCCGTCTTGAGATCCTAAAAAACACATGAAGAAGGGTAAAAAGTAATAGAGCAATTGAGTGACTTGGTCAACTTACTAACAAGCATAAGGTTAAATGGAAATTTAGGGACATACAAAACTGAGGATAAAGATAAGGGGGTCATGTTAGCATTGCCAACTCCACAAATGGAGGATGTGGAACCATTAGCAAGGGTAATAAATTGTGATGTTGAGCAATGAGAGAGGGAAGAAAACACACCTGGAGTTCCAGTCATGTGATCGGAGGCTCCAGAGTCAATAATCTAGGGATTGGGTGTGGATGCCAAACAAGCTCTACCTGAGTGTGCGAGAGTAGTTGTGTTCTGCTGAGATGTGGACTGGACAAACCTCTCATACTCATCACGGGGAACACTCACCATCTCCTTCCTAGGAACATCTATGGATGTAGGAGGCATCTGATCAGCTGAATGACTCTCCTGTTTGAAACTGGTGTCACTAGTCATGGCATGATTGGCCCAAGTTGAGGGTGGACCATGCAAGTCATAGCAATAATTAATGGTATGTCCATCCATACCACATTGAGTACAACTCCTCGGACCCGAACCACGTTCTCTACCACGGGTTCCCCCTGAATCTCTACCTCCAGTACAACCACCACCACGGTTATATGTAGGTCCACCACCACTACTCCGGCCATATACCGGACCACTGCTACCACTACGGCCAAACTGAGCTCCCCGAGCTCCACCTCTAACACTACGGCCCCTCGATACTGCAAAGGCTGATCTATCAGAAACATTAGAGTTCTCAATAGATCCAATGGAAATCCTCCGAAGTCGAGCAAACACCTCTTCTAAAGAAGGGAGAGCTGACCCTCCTAGTATYTGAGCCYGYACTGGTTCATACTCAGATTTCAGCCCCACCAAAAATCGAGTCACATCAAGCTGTTCTATCTGCTGTTGCTGAATTTTGACATCAGAAGTGAGGGGATGATAAACATTCAACTCATTACGAATGTTTCTCATACTAGCATAGTACTCCTCAAGATTCTAATTTCCCTATTGCAAATTAAAGTATTCTTGATACAGCTGATATACTCTGGTTGTATTGTCTTGACCAGAATACAACTTCTTATTTTGGCCCCACACATCTTTGGCAGTGTCAAGAAACATGAAATTTACACTAATTTTGGGTTCCATACTGTTCCATAACCACATGATAATCTGTGCATCCTCTTGTTCCCAGTCTTCATACTCATGAGAATCACTGGAGGGTTTTTCCTCCCTAATGTGTTTCACCTTCTTCTTTGCCTTCAAAAAAACTTCTATAGATTTAGCCCAAGGTACATAATTCTCTCCATTCAGTTTAATGGAGGTCATTTGAACATGAACACTCTGTTGAATGGAGGTACATGAACACTTCTACAGATTTAGCCCAAGGTACATAATTCTCTCCATTCAGTTTAATGGAGGTCATTTGAACATTCAGGTAGTCAATAGGTATCATCACATTAAATTTTCTATCACTGCTATCTCCCATTGCTAAATTCTATTATTGCTGAATTTGGCACACTGCACACTAGACCACACCACACACTGATCACACTGGTTTCAGCACTTGTTATTGCTGAAGATTGCACTCTTTACACCACAAACCCTACCCCACGACYACCTGAAATCTCACCACACTATATGAGGACCACTCCCCCTTCGAATCACACTAAAAATAGCATAAACCCTAGGACATTACAATCTGAAATCCCACCATATGATCTGAAACATACTTCTTTTTTGATTCATAACAAAAAGATGCATAGAAATCTCTTACCTCATCACCCGAAAATCAAACCACACAAGACACCCACTGCACCACACGAATCAGCCCTCTTCTCTTCATCGATTAGGGGAGGGCTTCTTAGAAACCACAACAACCGACCACGAACAACACAATTGGAGGCATAGAGACCTCCAAGGGAAGAGGGTGACCACTCCTTTTCAGCCCTTTCCCTTATTTCCAACCGATGGCAGAGAAATCAAGAGAAAACCCTAGACAGGGTGCGTGGAAAGCAAAAATCTGGGCCAATCCGAGTTGCTTAGTTGAGCTCTGATACCATATTATGATTCGGCCTGCCCTCGAGTTCTGTTAGTCTGATAACAGCCAAGGATTGAGAAGAAGAAAGAAGAAAGAAAGAGAGAGAGAAAGGAGAGAAGAAAAGTCTGGTTCGAATGAGAGAAAAATCACCTCTCCCATTCGGCTAGATATGTTTTATATTACTAACATAATGGAAAAGACACATGTGACCCTACTTAAGTGAGGGGCACTAGTTCTAACATAATATTACACATCAGCAACCTCAACATAAGTATAAAGACAGAAATACCCCTACATACTCGACACTAACACTCGGCTTGTAGCCAAAGGATACACTCAGAGTTATGACATTGATTATCTGGAAACCTTTGCTCCAATTGCTAAAATGAACTCTATTCGTGTGATCATGTCTCTTGCCACCCATTATTCGTGGCCTTTATATCAAATGGATGTAAAGAATGCCTTCCTTAATGGGGACTTACAGGAGGAAGTGTATATGGACTTACCGCCTGGGGTAAGTTTCCCTAACAGTGATGGAAAAGTGTGCTGCTTGAAGAAGTCTTTGTATGGGCTAAAACAGTCTCCAAGAGCATGGTTTAATAGGTTCAGAAATGCCATCTTAAAGATTAGTTTTTCTCAATCTCAGGCTGACCAAATCTTATTTATTAGAAGAGTTGATGGTAGAGTAACAATGTTGATAGTATATGTTGATGACATTGTTTTGACAGGTGATAATATCACAGGTATCTCTCAGTTAAAGTCATTCCTTGCTTCTGAATTTGAGATTAAGGACCTTGGTGGTCTCTGATACTTTCTTGGCATTGAAGTTGCAAGATTCAAGAAGCGGATTTTTCTGTCACAAAGGAAATATGTACTTGATTTGCTTCATGAGGTTGGGAAATTAGGGTGTAAGCCTGTAGAAACTCTAATTGATCCCAACCACAAGTTGAAATCTACTGAAGGAGAAGTTCTTCCAGACAAGGGGGTATATCAGAGATTGGTGGAACGCCTTATGTATCTTTGTTTGACTAGACCTGACATTTCCTATGCTGTTGGAGTGGTTAGCCATTATATGCATGAACCTAGGACATCTCATATGCATGTAGTTAACAGAATTTTAGCCTACTTGAAAGGATGCCCTATCAAGGGGATGTTGTATTCCAACCACGGCCATCTAAAGATTGAGACTTACACAGATGTTGTTTTTCTTTTCTCACAATCCTGTCCAACATGATCGTAGAAAGCATATTGAGGTGGATAGACACTTTATTAGAGAAAGAATTGCTAGCGGAGAGATTTGCCTTCCTTTTGTAAGGTCAGAAGATCAACTAGCTGATTGCCTCACTAAAGGTGTTCACCATCCAAAGTTTGCTAAGAACCTTGCCAAGCTGGGCATGATTGGCATATATGCTCAGCCTGAGGGGGAGTGTTGAGAATGGTTAGATAGGGGTGTTTTTGGTCATTTTCTCCTTTCTGATACTCTCTCTGTATTTGGGCACCCAGATAGGGACCTTCTTGTAATTATTAATTTTCAATTATAAAATGAACTTTTGTGGGTGTGAATAGTGAACTTCACACACCTCTCGACACTTTCCTTTCTTCTTCTTTTCTTCTCTTCTTTCTCTCTCTTGAAACCCTAGTTTCTGCAACTCATACTTAACTCAGAAATATTGTGGTTTCATTCAAAATATTTTCTACGTAACTGAAATAAAGTAAAAAAGGCCAGACTGTCCCATGACATTGATACATACAACAACAGTACATAACAGACTTGACTCAGAAATGCTGTGGGTTCATTCAAAATGTTTTCTTCATAACAGTGAATAATTTCATTAGCTTTTCTGTTCTCATGACAATATGATTTTCTGTTTATCTTCTCAGGTTGCAGCCTCTAATATGTTGTATAACTTTTTTTATGTATTTTTGAGTTTCAGTTGCTGTTGGTGTCATTTGGTTGGTGATTCCTCATCACCCATTTTGATGTAATGAGTTTCTATTTTAATGAATTTTCTTTTTTATTTATTACTAAAAAATGTTGTATTACTTGAAAGTATATATAGTATCATTACCTGTCTCATCTCTCCAACATACTTAAGAAAATTGTTCTTCACTTTTCAGTAGTTGACCAAAATTTTGACATTCTTTGTTCATCAGCCAAAAGCCCATTATTTGTATTTGCCAATTTACAAGCAGTTAAAAATTCCAGCTAGCTGCATATTTTCCACAAATAGAGATTGACACCTTTATTTATTGATAGCATGTTACTTTATTAGAACAAAATGAGATAGACAATCAACAATAATAGGTGAGTGTGTCCATGGTTTTTGGCACTTGTATTTAAAACAATAAATTAATTGAATTATTAGATTGAGGCTTGAATTGCTTGTCATCGAAATACTACATTAACTGAAATATTAATTGGAATTTTGAATTTCTTTGTGATTGTTGTATAAATTCCTAGTACCAAACCTTAGTAGTACTTCACTCCCTATGCTAGTTTATACATTATACAAGAGAAAGATGGACGGTTGGTTGCATATGGTTCCTAATTATTTCCAATACTTGTGTTATTTACCACTTCCATCCTAGGAGAGTTGGTGTCAGTGCTATCCCTACAGGGCATTACATCCCCTTCCCAGCAGGTGCTGTCCCACACTTCTGATGGAGCATACCCCTCCCCACCCACACATACGATAAAACGACTTTTGTACTTAAAATTGAATTTATGTTTGGCTAACCTGCTTCCAAACCTTCTTCATTTTCTTCTTCTTAGCATTCCACTTGTTATGCCTTTCAATCACAATGAGAAATCTTCACTGTAGGTTTGCAAGTTTTTGGAGGTTTCTAAGTTGTCATTTTCACCGGAGTATGGACAAAAATTGAAAGAAGATTATGTCATGGTAAAGCATCTGCCGAAGATCCAAAAAGATGACGATAGAAAATGTTGTGCCTGCCCCTGGTTTAATTGTTGTAATGACAACTGGCAAAAGGTAACTGAGTCTTATTTCAGGAACATGGTTTACATTATCATGTACATAGAATCACAGATCAGTTTTCCACTCTTTCCATGGTTGTCATCATCATCAGAGTTTCAGCACATGCAAATATTAAACATTTGTAGCAACTTTTTGGAATCCTTGCTTTTATTAGTTGTCAATTTTTATACTCCCTCTTGAACAGATTCTTGTTATGGAGTTTTCCACTTGCATTGACCTAAAAAATGCTTCATTGGTTGACATGAAAGTTATTTTTTTTTTTAGAATTGCTTCCCATTTTTATAGGAGAAATTAGGCTCTTAGTTTCATAGTATAGATGTCTGTACAGCTTATCATCCTTATACCTTATCATATCTGTAGCAATTTTTAGAACTTTTAAGTGAGACTTGCCTTTTATTGGTATTGCTTATGAGATCTTTTATAATGTGATCTCATCAAAAAATAATAGCAATATGATGTATTACATTTTTGGATGTTGTATCATTGTTCTGAAAGTATCTTTATAAATGCACCATCATAAAACCAGGTTGGTTTTCTGTGTATATGTCTCCTCTGTAGGACCCACTGGATGACTGATTTGTCTGTTATGTAAAATATCTTTAGTATATTGAAGGAACATAAGCATTTAATTTCTAACACGTTTTGTTGACTTATGAAGTTTGTGGTGAAGTTGTGACAAGGATTGGATGATAATGATGATGACCTACAAACGTTTTTTCCTTGCTTTATCTTATTTTATTTTTGATAAGGGAGAGATTGTGGAGGATGCCACCCAAAGAATTATAGGATGGGAAAAATGGAGGGGTGAATCTGGAATCTTATGTGTTAGGCGAATAACACTTCAACTAAAAGGAAAATTCTATAAAAAAGTTATAAGGCCAGCCATGTTGTATGGAGCGTAGTGTTGGGCAGTCAAGAAACAACATGTCTAGAAAATGAGTGTTGCAAAAATGCAAATGCTAAGATGGATGAGTGAAAAAACTAGAAAGGATAGGATCAGGAATAAAGTCATTCGTTTGGACATAGGAATAGCCTCAATAGGTGATAAAATGAGAGAAAGTTGACTGGGTAGTCTGGTCATGTGCATAGAAGACCATTAACAATGCAAGTTAGAAGAAGTGATTTGTTACAAGTTGAAGGGGCCAGAAGGGATAGGGGTAGACCAAAATGGACATGGGTAGAATTAGTAAGAAATGATTTAAGCACTAATAATTTAACAAAGGATTTAGCTTTATCTAGAATGGATTGGTGAATCAAGACTCATGTAGCCAACCTCATATTGTGGGATAAAGCGTGGACAATGATGATGATGATGGTGATCTTATTTTATTTTTTATGAAGAATTTGTCATCAGACATTTTATCATAATGACTTAACATTTTTCAGATGGATAAGAGTCTCTTGGTGGAGCTAGAAAACCCATATTTTTGCTTATAATTTTTCTTTCAATGATTTCTAGTTAAAGTACAAACTTTTCTTTCAATGTTTCTTGACAGTTCAAAATTTAGTGCTTCAGTTTTGATGGTTATATAGCATGCATATCATTATCTTTTACTTCTGCCCGTTCTGGGTGACATACCACCCCCCCACCACTCTAAGAAAAAAAAGAAATAAAATAAATCTCTTTGTTGCATAGCTGTTAATTATTCTTCAATCTTCATCATTAAATTATAATGCCACACTGTGGGCATGTCTATAACGTGAATCCCTTTTTGGATCTGGAAAACCCATATTTTGCTTATAATTTTGTTTCAATAGTTTATTAGTTAAAGTACAAATTTTGTCAACAGTGTGCTACATTCTTTGCTCCTTTTTGGAGCTAAGCATGCACTACACATGTTTCTTGACAGTTAAAAGTTTAGTGCTTCAGTTTTGATGGTTATATAACATGCATATCATTATCTTTTATTTCTTCCAGCATTATGGATGACATATCCCCCCACCCTAAGACAAAAATAAATAAATAAATAAATCTCTTTATTGCATCGTTGTTAAGTATTCTTCAATCTTTAGCATTAAATTTTAATGCCACACTCTGGGCATGTCTATGACATGAATCCCTGTTAGAATACCATAACATAATTTTGTGCATTATTTGCTTATGACTATACCAATTGTTGACATTGTATTTGAATTGTTTCTAGGTCTGGGCTGTATTGAAACCTGGGTTCTTGACTTTTCTTGAAGATCCCTTTGATACAAAACTTTTAGATATTATTGTATTTGACGTGTTACCAGCATCAGATGGAAATGGAGACGGCCGAGTATTTTTAGCAGAAGAGGTGAAGGAACGCAATCCTTTACGTTATTCTTTTAAAGTAAGTTGCTCATTCTTTTAATCTTACGAAAGAATGAAGAATTGGTTCTCTTCTTTTGGTTTGGAGGATTGGGGTGACTTCAGTCTTTCATCTGGTTTCAGTATTGTTATGTAGTTTAGTGTTTACGTTTATCATCATGTAAACTGAACTTAGGATCAATTATTAACTGTTCATGGTTGTTTAAGGAAATATAATCAGATCCTTTGTTCAACTATTACACCTATCAAAGTAATCATATGCAGCTTAGGCCTGGTTTGTTTGCAATGCAGTTTCATTTGCATTGGTGCAAAAGTATGGCGATACAAATGATCTGATTGCAAATTTCTGATTTATTTTTGCTTTAGCTTTTGCCTTCTTTTGTTTGTTTGCATTATAGCTGAAGTAAAATGAATCCTTACCAAAGTAAAGTAAAATCCAAAGCAACAGTGTACCAGGATATGCAGTTTTCTCATTTGCACTCATCGCATTTGTATTAGTGCAAATGAAATTGTGCTGAAAACAATAAAGCTTGAGGAAATAAAAACAATGTAAATTGAACTATTGAACTCAAATTAATAGAACATTATTTTTGTTCATATATTATACATTTGATCTGACCAGAGGCAGCAATTGGTTGATATACTTTATTAAAAGGTTCACACCTATGTGGCCATGCTGTCAAGTAAACTGGCTGCCTACCTGGAAAATATATGCAGTTTATACTTCATCATGAAAAAAGTACATAATACTTATATAATTTTAATGAGTCTACTTGTTTTCCTAATAAATTTATTCTTTTTTACCTATGTAAAGTAGTAAAAATTTTTAGTGAAAGAAAAATACTTGTGGTAATAGACAGAGTTTGGAAACTAAGGAAGAAGAGCAAAAATAGTAGTTGAATGAGCTTACTATGATAAGAGCTGCTCATTGGGCTTCAATTTGTAAAGACTTCATTTGTGCTTCAATGGATTGAGGAAGAAGGAAGAAAGGAATAAAGATAGAAGAGGAAGAGGAGAGAAAAGTTTCAAAGAAGCCAAAAAGCTTGTCCCAAAAGGAAGGGTGTCAGATCTTGTACCACTAGTCATCCTATCTCACATTATGTTTCCTATGAAAATGTCTCACCTTCTTTTCATGCCTTCCTCTCTTCCATTGATAGTGTTTCCATCCTTAAAAATGTTGTAGAAGTTCTTACTATTCCTGAATGGGCAGATGCAATGAAGGAAGAAATCAATGCCTTACATAAGAATGATTCGTGGGAATTGGTGGATCTTCCGCAAGGAAAAGAACCAATAGAATGTAAATGGGTGTTCTCTATGAAGCATAGGGCAGATGGTACAATAGAGAGGTACATGGTTAGGCTAGTAGCAAAAGGGTTTAGATAGGTGTGTGGAGTGGATTATGAAAATACTTTTGTCCCTATAGCCAAGATGTATTCCATTAGAGTTCTACTTTCTTTGGTTGTTAACCTATACTACGATCTTTATAAGTTGAACATCAAGAATGCCTTCCTAAATGGTGACTTAGAGGAAGAGGTATACGTGGTTTAACCCTAGTTTTCATGCTCAAGACAGTGAGTTGAAGGTATGCAAGTTGAAGAAACCTTTATATGGTTTGAAACAATCACCGGGAGCTTGGTTTAATAGGTTCCATTTGGTTGTGCAGCAGATGAGCTTTAAGTAGTGCCAATCAGATATCACACTTTTTGTGAAAAGGGAATAGAAAGAGATTGAAGTACTGATAGTATATGATGATGACATAGTGATTACGAGTGGCTGGACTTCAGAAATACAAAGATTGAAAGAGTTTTTAGTTACGTAGTTTATCTAGGGCCTCTATTTTATTTCATAGGGATTGGAGTTGCCCGATCTCAAGAAGGGATCTTCATTTCTCGAAGGAAATACATCCTAGATCTCTTGAAGGACACAAGTAAATTTGGGGCGAAGCCTACCGACATTCCCATTGACCCAAATCGCAGGCTAGGTGATTTTGGTGGTGATCCCATAAAAGATGTAAAGCAGTACTAGAGGCTTGTGTGGGTAGACTCCTATACCTATTGTTGAAGATTAATCAGTTTTATGTTGTTTTATGTTAGTTGTTAGATAGGAGGTGGGGACCACATCAGTTATGTGAGTCCAAATTTTATTATGTTTTTGAGTCTTATATATGTTGTTTTATGTTTTACCGCCCTATAAGGGCATAGTTGTCTTTGTACTGTTCTTATATTTTTATTATAAATAATAAGTGAAGGGGGTGGCCAGATTATTGCTCTCTTTTCTTTTCAAGATCTCCTCTTCTCTTCTTCTCCTTCTCTCTTTTCTCTCTTCAAGAAACTACTTTTCTGTTCATATTTTTGAATTCAGCAGATTTCTACTTGGTATTAGAGCATCGGCTTGGGTTCTTGAAGCATTCTCATGCAGCCTTAGATCAGCCGACTGCATGAAGTAACAAAGGGCTGATCGATCTGCTATATATTGCCCAGTTCTTGGATTTTTTGGTGGGATCTAGTCATCAGGAAGGTGATCTACTGTTCGACATCAAAATCAGGAAGAACTGGAGTACGGGGAAGAGTCCCAAAAAAGTTGGACTCTTTGTTTTTTATCTGATCTTGGGCGCCCAAGTATTGTTAGTTTTCTTTTGTTATTCTGAAGAGGGCGGTTAAGTTTCTGGAATTTTTTGAGCCTCTTGGAGTGATCAATTCACTCTTCTCTTTGTTGGGAGGCATGGGGAGGAGAGAGATTTCTCTCCGGATTGGGCTTTCTTAGGGTTGATTTCTATATGTGTGAGATTGAATTGCTTTTGGAAGATCTCCAATCTATTTTTTTCTTACTGTTGAACTGTTTGAAGTAAGATGGAGAGTTGGAGTACTGAGGTGAAATCCACCGGTACCATGGGACTGGGTGTTGGAGGTAGTAGTGATATTTTTGGGTCTGGAATCATTACTACAATAAAACATGATGGTACAAATTATTTAGAGTGGGTACAATCAACCAAGATGGCTTTTGGTGCTCGTGAAAAATCAGGGTACATCACTGGGGAGGAGAATAAACCTGATACTGATTCTTCTCGGTGGGTGCAGGAGAGTTACATGGTAATGTCCTGGCTGTGTAATTTTATGTTACCTCATATTGGAAAAGATTTTCTATGGGCTAATACTGCCAAGGAGATTTGGGATGGAGTGAATGAAACCTACTCTCAGAAGCAAAATGTAGCCAGAGCCTATCAGTTAAGGAATTAGGTGATCAGTATAAAATAGGGAGAAAAACCTCATGTCATGTATTTCTCCATGCTAAAAACCTTTGGCAAGAAATAGATCACTTAGAAACTGTGGTATGGGAAAGTGTAAATGATGCAGCAACCTATCAAAAACTAGTAGAGAAAAATAGGGTTTTTGAATTCTTGGCAGGGTGAACCTTGAATTTGACATTGCTAGGCAGCGTATCCTTTCTAGGGAGAGTGTGACACTCTCTCAAGCCTATGCCTTTGTTTCTGGGGAGCAGAGCAGGAGGAATGTCATGCTGAGACAGCTTGGGATTAACCAGTCGTCTTTGTTAGTACAACCAAACCTAAGTCGAATGGAGATAGGGGGAGCAGTGAGACTAGAAGGGAAGATAATAAGGACTTGGTGTGTGATTATTGTAAGAAGCCTAAGCATACCAGGGATACTTGTTGGAAGCTTCATCTAAATCTTATGCCTGCCCGAATAAGGAACAAGAAGGGAAATGCGAATGTGGCCACTACAGGAGGCTCTTCGGCCCCTCTCCCAAACTGATTGGGAATCCATTGTAGTAGAAGCGGTGAAAACAAAATTGGAGAGGTTTGGACAGCTTATGAGTAAGAAAGATACAACTAGCTCTAGCCTTCCAGATGGACAACAGAGTGCAGGTGCCAACTACACCACTTCTTTTGCACATACAGGTAGTTCATATGCAATTGCAAATCTTGCATCCACTTCTGGTAAGGAGGGACCTCCCTAGATTATAGACTCAGGAGCATCTAAGCACATGCTAATGTTCCTACCCTTTTCAGGTCCTATCAGCTGTACTCTGGTAGAGACAGAGTCTCTACAGCAGATGGTTCACATATTCCCATTGTTGGGAAGGGGACAATTAGAGTGGCCAATGATATTACTTTATCTTCTATCTTACATGTCCCTAGACTTCATACCAACCTACTTTCTGTTAGTTCTTTGACAAAAAATTTGAATTGTTCAGTGACCTTTCTTCCTGGTAATTGTGTTTTGTAGGATCTGGTGTCAAAGAAGATGATTGGGAGTGGTCGTGAGGTGAATGGAGCCTACCTTCTGGATGAGATTCCGAGTCATCAAAGCCATCATGTTAGCAGCAGCAGTAGTAGTGGGTCAAAGTCAGCGAGCTAGATTATGTTGTGGCACAATCGCATGGGACATCTTTCTTTTAGTTCATTGAAATTTCTTTTCCCAAAGTTATTTGAGTCCGTTCAGTTATCTACCTTGGAGTGTGAGAGCAAGGTTTAAAATGTCGATGTCGATGGAAATGTCGCTTACCAAAATATATGTTAGAAATGTCGAGGGGAAATATTGTAAAAATTAGAGATATTGTGGAAATATTATGAAATATGTGGAATCATGCAAAGATATTTTGTAAAATGATAAAAGAAGCATTAATACATATTTCTAGACTA